TGTCATCGTGCGGGGTGCAGTGCGTTGTTGATTTTCGTAAATTAAGAGGGCGTAAATGTTGCGTTTGAACACCTAGGCATCGGTGTTGACCTATCGGTTCGTTGACCTCGCTGTACTTGCTGCCGGCAGGTTGATCCCACGGCCAGCAGAGCTGCTCGAGCGTTTTGACTTGGTCAACAACCTGTATGGCGGGCTTATTGACAAGAAAACGAAGCAGCCACTGTTTCGAGCGGAAGCACTGGAGGCTATCAAGCGTCTTCGAGTACACATCATGAACGATTGCTGTAGTGACTCCCCGAACGAGGCGCTGTACTTCGAGGCGGGGAAGGATGCTGAGACTCTCTGTCCGTTGTTTCGCTGCATTAGAGGTACCAACGACCTAGAGGGGTACCACCTGCACATGCGCTTGCTGGTCGCGTGGTGTATTTCTCCCAGGCTTGCCCATCTTCTTCTCCTCGAGTACAACTACAGGTGGAACTTACGCCAGAGTATGAAGAACCGTGGTCTCGACGAGGCTGTGGGGGGGTTCTACGACCAACCAATGCTTGAGGCCATCCAGGTACACTTACCACGAGCTGGTTCCACAACTCTGCGAAGTAGTGACCGTAGCCGATCATCGTTACCTTAGGTTTTGATAGAATGGTCAGTGAATCGTGGCTTGATCATTTTGCATCACCATTAACACAATGCGTATACCGCAACGTTATTTTTCAACCAGAGGATGACTTCCAAGCTGTACGGCAAGGCGAAGTACTCCCAATGGCTGCCGACGAGCGCATACGGCGACACAGGGGAGCGCAGTGGGTTCGTGCGGAGCATTTTCCCATCAAACGTGGTCGGAGGAGGGACGGACTCGGTGTTGGAGATACTGGGTGGGGCGGAGAACAGCGGCATTGACCCCGCCTTTGCGGACGAGGCGGTTCCGCTCCCAGAGCTTACGGGATCGGCAGCCAGGCTAGCAAAAATGCAAGGAGTGCAGGTACCGCATATGCCGGTAACCAGTGCCGCTGAAAAAGCAAAGTTCGGCGACATGTGGTTGGAGTTTGTCGATCCGGCTGGGAGGCAGACTTTGCTCGACTTCGACAGCTTTGCATTGGAATGGAACAAGGCCGTGTCGCTCATGGAGGAGGGCAAGAGCGCAGTGATTCCCATATTCCGCAAGACGGCCGGACACCTCAAGGCGTACTGGAAAGCGTGAGTCCCAACCGCGTTTTTTGGCAGAAAGGAGAAAGTTCTCAAGTGTTATATTCCTAGTCCAGTTGAGTGATAAACTTTCAACCTTGTCCCGTGGTTGCTCCTCTCGCAGTTTTTTTTTTTTTT